AGCCATTTGAAAAGTTCTCAGAAAAGCTGTAGAGTCTCTTGCAAGCCTTTGTACAAATTAGAAAATAGAACTCCTTCTAGGTGGATGCAATCCTGTAGGTACCCTTCTTGGTGAGTGGATAACTCCTTAAAAAACAACAACAAAAACCAAACCAGTTGCCTTAGAGTCGATTCCAACTTCTGGTAACCCCATGTGTGTCAGAGTAGAACTGTGCTCCATAGGGTTTTCAATGGCTGATTTTTCAGAAGTTGATCACCAGGCCTTTCTACCAAGGCACCTCTGGGTAGACTTGAACTTCCAACCTTTCAGTTAGCAGCACAGAGCATTAACAGTTGCACCACCCAGGGACTCTGAATGATTCCTTAATGCTTAGGAAAAGGTGCCCCATCCTTCAATTAGACAAAAACCTCCATCGGGGCACATGGTTTGAGAAGCAGAGAGTGGACTGGATATTGACCTTCACATGCCCACTCAGCTAAGTTCCCTTTTGCAGGGCACAAGCTACATGACCACACACAGCAGCCCTGACTGTAAGTTGAAGCTCTTGTCTTTAAATAGTATCTCCTATGTTTGACTTTGTCAGAAACGAAGTTAATTGGTAATGCCCCAAGGTATAAGGGAAATGAGTTGAGAATCTGGGAAAGGCTGAAGCTCCGTACTCTGAGACTTCATTTACCCCATTCTTTGATGTTAATAATGCCTACACCTACCAACTTGTTACTGTGAGACCTATAAGTGTTGAAAAAGTTGAGAGAAAATACCTCTCTCCTAGATGAAATGAGATGAGATGATCTATGCGCAAATGCCTGATAAACTGTAGAGGGCTTTTCACGTGTAAGGTAGTCTTACGGTTACCTTTATTGTTTCTGTGATAGCATCTGCTAACACCTCTGATGTTCCCTCTCCCAAGATCCCACAGCTATCATTATCATCATTATCATCTTCACTATTAAGTTTATCACTGCCTTGGTATTGTGTAGGCACAACTCAGACCTGTTTCTGAGGTTAGACTTCCTCTAACCTCGGTAAGGTGCCAGTGATGTTTTCTAATTGGAAACATTACTTTACAAGAAAGAGAAGTGGCATGCCAGCCAGTAATAGACTAGCTCTTCTCCCCTCCCTCCCCACCACCACCATCACTACCATCATCACCACCACCATCACTACCACCATGAGACTGAGATCACTGTTATTGTGAGCAGATGAGAGAAAACCAATCTTCCAACTATTCCCATCATTTCCAAATATTGTCAAGCCCCCATCAAAAGAATGGGTGCCTTTCCACCGTATTTTGGACCCTTCACAAAGGGTCCTTCTCTGAAGGTTTGCTTAGGGGATCCAGGATGTTAAGAAGTAGCCTAATATCCAGCAGAATTGGGAAGATGTCAGACACCGCCTTCCTCAACCCTACTCAGCTGAGGTCACACACAGCTTCCATGTGAAAGCTTAGAGCTTTTTTAGTCCCTGTCAGTCAAGAGAGATAACAACCAAGAATACTTTAGTGGCCTCATTCCTGCAAGTTGGGAGGGGCTGGAAAGTCAGCTAGAGATTTGGTCTGGTATATGCTATGCCTGGAGTGTTGCCACCTTGCCTTCCTCATTGCTATGTTAGCTCAATCCATACTCTTTGGCTTCTGACTCAGGTTCTCACTAGATGAACTCTTTTCTAATGGGATCAGGGATGTGCTCTGAACCCCAGTTCACTTGGCTAGAGCTCTAATACTCTGCTTATTTTTGGCTCATTCTCTCTAGCCTGCTTCTGTTCCTCCCATTGGATGGAGTCCTGCACGGAGTGGATAATCAAGTTGACGACGAGGCCTATCTTACTTTAAGACTCATTCCCCTTCCTTAACTCTTGCTGCCACATCCCACCCACCAGTTGGCATGCCTGAGGATATACTTAGGCCATAGCCCAACTAATAGTTCAATTTTCCTGCCCACCACCCTATCACCTCCATTCTAACGTATGTTGTTGAGGTACCAGCATGCCTCATCAGTCTGCCTATGTTTTGCTAGAAATCAGAGGCAAAGCCCTGGAATGCAGAGCTTTATCTTCAGTCCCTTTTATCTTTCTGAGTCCAGCCCTGGTGGTGCAATCGTTAAAGCACTGTGCTGCTAACCAAAAGGTCAGAGGTTCAAACCCACCAGCCACTCTGTGGGAGAAAAGACCAGGCGATCTGCTCCTGTAAAAATTAACCAAAACAAAACGAAAAGACAAACCTGTTGCCATCAAGTCAATTCCAGCTCATAACGACCCCATAGGACGGAGTAGAACTGCCCAGTAGGGTTTCCAAGGCTGTAAATCTTTACGGAAGCAGCCTGCCACAGCTTTCTCCTGCAGAGCAGCTGGCGGGTTCAAACCACTGACTTTTCAGTTAGTAGCTTAGCTGAGTGCTTCAACACTGCCCCACAAGGGCTCCTTCCTGTAAAGATTATAGCCTAGGAAACCCTATGGGGCAGTTCTACTCTGTCACATGGGGTCACTATGAGTCGAAATTCACTCAATGGCACACAACAACATCTCCACTTCCTGTTGCTGTCCAGGGTCTTCCTTTGCTCTATAACCACAGCCCCTGCTCTCTCGTTTTTTTTCCACCCAATCTCAGCATTTTCATTCCCTTAATGGGTTGATTTATACTGCTATAAAGAAACAATCTGATTAAACAAAGTCATCTTAAGACAAAAATGACTTAAGGTGAGGAACATTTATTTGCATTTTCATTAACTTAAAGTAGTGGTTTTCAAGTCTGGCTGCACTGAGAAGCATACCTTTGCTGGGACCCCACCATAGACTAATTAAATCAGAATCTCTAGGGCTGGGGCTCTGGCTCCAGTCATTTTTTTAAAGTTTTCCAGATAATTCTAGTGTGCAGCCAGAGTGAGAACCATTGACCTAAAGGAATGAATCTCTAATGCAAGGGCAATAATATGTACATTTACTACCTCCCTGCCTGAAATGAGTTGTGGGTGGTGAGCACTCAATCCTAACTTCTCTCAGTCTGACAGTCCAAAGAGCTTCAAGACGTGGATTTATTTAACATTTCATGGTAGGGCCAAAATGTCGTTTCAAAGTATACTATTTAGAATGGGTGGGACGTGAAACACTCATGGAATGTAAACTTGCAGGAGACGCTGGGCTTCATGAAGATTCGTACCATATTATAATGTTATGATACTAAATATGTTAGCCAGTTTCTGGCATTGCTCCCCCTGGAAATGGTTTTATATTTTTAAAAATAATGCTGTGCTCTGCTTTGAAAGTATCAAACTCTATTATGAAGTAATCAGAGCTGCAGTGATTGCTTAACATTATAGGATCTTGTAGACTGGGGCTGGAAGCAGACTATAGTAGTTCCTGGAACTAAAAACTCTTGCCCTCATACTCCCCTAATGAGCATAATTAAGGTCCAATACTGGAGACACTTGAAACTCAAAATGGGCTTCTGGTTATGGGCCAGGCTTAAGCTGGACTGTTCTCTAATAAGCCCATTGTTATGTTAAGGAAATGACTGGGACCAGGACTAATCCTAATTGTAATCAGTTTGACAAGTAGTTTCTGAGCTATCCGTCCTATAGTGGTGGAGTGGCTGCAAGGGGCAATGAGCAGTGTTCCCACAAATCACTGCCACTTTCCAGAGAAAAGCAAAGTGGAGATATTAAAAAAAAAAAAGGAATAGGAAAAAATCAAAACCGAGTGTCACGTGGTTTGGCCATAAGTCTAAGTCAAAAAGTCTGATTCAAGAGGGCCAGGAAGGGCCCTCCTGCCCAAAATTCCACCCAACATGCCCTGGAAATGGTAGCTTCAGTGGGCCAGTCCTTTGCGTCAAACTTTGTTCACTGTCTCTGCAAAAATCAACTTTGAACTAAAAATTCCCTTCAAAGGGGGAACATGTTGAAACGCAGGCAGACTTCTCATTTTCGTTTGCTTTCATTTATCAGCTAGGTCCCCTCCATATCAATGTGCTGTGTGCTTCAGGAAGAGAAGGCTGCTTTGAGTGGGCATGCATTTTGGAGTCCAGAGAAGACAGGTTCTAAGCGGAATGTGATGATACAAGGGCACTGGGTACTTATAAAGGAAAGTGTCCAGGAGAGAGTCAAAGGCAAACCTCCCTCAGTGACTAAGACAAAAAGGGAGCCATAAGAACCTCTCTTTGGACAAATATTGTATGACTCCACTTATATAAAATATCTAGAATAGGTAAATGTATAGAGACCAAAGTTTATTAGTGATTACCAGGGATAGAAAAGAAGCTCTGATGACGGAAACCATTAAGCACTTGGCTGCTAACGGAAAGGTTGGTGGTTCGAACTCACCAGAGGCTTCAAGGGAGAAAGACCTGGCGATCTGCTCCTGTAAAGTCTAGATAACCCTGTGGGGCAGTTCTACTCTGTCACATGGGGTCATTATGAGTTGAAATTGACTCAACGGCACCTAACAACAACAACAGGGATGGATGGGATGGGAAAAGGAGGAGTCACGGCTTAGGGGGCACTGACTATTTGTTAATGGTGATGGAAAATTTGGCAATGGATACTGGTGATGGTGGCACAACATGATTAATGTAATCAGTGTTACTGAATTGTACACGTAAAAAAATGTTAAATTGGCAAATGTTGTGTTATATATATTTTTACCACAATAGAAAAAAAAGAACAACCCTCTTTGGCTGGTCTGAAACGATGGGGCTCCCAAGGACAAAAAGGATGAGTGGCTAGAGTTGCCCTTGATGCTACTTTTCCCCACCCACGTACTGAGGGCAGGCACTGGCACCCAAAGGCGTTTTAACCACAGAGTTAGTTCTGTATACCTTCATTCAGTCCATAAGACAGACTCTGTTGAAGCAGGACAGTTTTGGGGCCTGAGTGTGAGTGAAAAATGGCAAACACATAAGGAACTGGGGATTGATGTGCGATCCTAAGGTGTAAGGATAGGAAACCTTTTAGAGATTTTAGTATCTTTTGTTGAAGCCACATTTAAACCTTAGCCTGGAGAACACTCACTGCGAATTCTGTCTGCCTGGCGAATCCTCTGGAGAGCTTTAAAAATGCTTTGGCTGTCTTGGCCTGTGGTCAGGACGACCCCTACAGGTAGGCCACGGCTCCGAAGGCCACTTGCAACTCGATTGGCTGCGTGCACCCAAATGTCTTCATCTGAGGAAATGACTCCAGCATGAGCCCACTGGAAATACTTCATGATGGTTACCAGCACTTTGATAGGCGAAGGGAGTGTCCGAGAAAAGGTCAGGTAGCTATTTTTATTGTCTAATTCATAATTCACACAAGCCCAAGAGAAAATCCCATTGTCCCAGCTGTTTCCCAGGAGCGAGGCCGCCGCGCAGTAGCCAGGGTTAGCAGGTCCAATAAATCCTGAGGCCATCTGGTGGTGGGAAATGAAACTGGAGAGGGCCCTAGAAGTCTGGCAGTCTTCATTGAGAATCACATATTCAAAAGCGTAGCCCAGGTCCAAGGATGGGTCTCTGTTGATCCGATCAATAGCTAATTGAGCAGCAACCTCAGGCAGGGCCTTTGAGAACAATGGATCACAAGCCCAAGGACCTATCACTCCTACCTTGTAGGGAAGTGCCCACACCTGCTGCGGGAAGGACATGACAACCAGGAGGCACAAGCACCACAGCAGCTTGGAGGATGCAAGGCCATGGTGTCCTAGCTTTTTGCTGGTAGCCATGAACCAGAGCATAAGGCGAGACAAGGGCCAGGGTCCCGGGAACATAGCCCTCCTGCTTGCAGCAAGCTAATGAAGAAATACTGGCAGGTATTCTGCTGTCCCAAGATGGACAGTGATGTTTCCAAATGCCTGTCAATCAGAGGAAAAGGTCTGTTATTCATATAATTTCTGAAACTTCTGAAAACATTCATTATGAAAGAATGGCAATTGCCCTCACTGTTGCCCAGTCCTTGTGGTTGAAAGCATGAGGTCCTGTAAGGACAGAGATATCACACAGTCCAATATCGTTGCTATAATACAAACTAGAAATAGGGAACCTCCCATGCCAGTCCAGAGAAGGGCTTGCTCCTAGAGCACCCTGGCATCTAGCTTTTTCAGTGACAGATAAAAGAGTGAGCCTGGGGGAGGCAGTGGCAGTCCCCAAACTGAGAGCTTCTTTCCCCATACTGACACTCCTCCTCTACCTGTACTCCTTATCTCACCAAATGGCACCTCCAGCCACTGTTTGCCCACTTGCTCAAGTCAGAAACCTGGGAGTCAATTGAGACTCCTTCTTCTTTGCCCCCACATTCAATCCATCACCAAGTCCTATTGATCCAACTTGAGTAATAGCTGTCTACCTCAGGGTTGTGAGAGTTACATGAGTTAACATACATCAAGTGCTTATAACAGTGCCTGGCATAACATTAGCATTAGACTAGTGATGTTATTATCATTATTATAGTTTTAAATATGTCCATTTTTCTCCACCCACACTGCACTCTTGGAGTCTAAAAGAGAGATGGAGGTACAAACAAATAATGGCTAAATAGAATAAGAAGTGCTACAACCAAGGTAAGCCCAGAGGAAGACAGAGAGGCTAACCTAAACCCATTATGCTTTTTTAAGAACTACTGTGTTTTTGCACAAATAACACATTCTATGTCTTCCTCTCCCCGTGAGGTATTTTCATAAGCATGCTATGCTAATTTTTTATAACAATATGTTGTAAAAAAGATAGCATAGCACACAATTAAGAAAATACCTCTCAGGAGGAGGGCAAGGTTGGCAAACAAACAGAATTTGTGCATTATTTGCATAAAAATACAGTATCTATATGGGATCAAATTGACAACAGCAACTTGAAAGATTAGATAGGAACCTTAGGGGGCGGTGAGTTTCTGTTAATGAAGTTGGAACAACTCAGAAAAGGAGGGTAAGAATGGTTGCACAGCTTGAAGAATGTAATCAATGTCACTGAATTGTACATGTAGAACTGTTGAATTGGTGTATGCTTTGCTGTGTATATTCTCAATGACAACAACAATAAAATTAATTTTTTTAAAAACCCATGGAATAGTCTTACTCTGCAACACATGGGGTACCCATGAATTGGAATCAGCTTGACAGCAACTGGTTTGGCATTTTGGTTTTGCTATGTGTCAGACACTGGGCTAAACTCTTTTACTTGTATTATCTTATTTTGCAAACTCAATAAAAAAAAAACACCTCATCACAGCCCTTTAAGGTAGGTACTATTATCACCCTCATTTACAGATGATGAAACTGAGGCTTAGAAGAGGTAAATAACTTGTCTGAGGGCACACCATGGTAGAACTGGGACTTGTTCCCAGGTAGATTGAGCACTCTATGAGGAGGCCTGCTAATAGCCGGTCAGAATTAGTCTATGAATTCACTGAGACCATCATTATAATACCTTCAATGCTACCCATATTGGGTTTGAATGATTCATTTATGGTTTTAAAAAAAATTTCCTTAGTTACCTATGAAAGAATAAACTGGGTAAAGGGCAGGGGGTGGCAGAGTAAGCTGAGAGGACCAGCCAGAAAGTCACTATCCAACCTGAAGGAGTTTTCTACTAGTGTTCAAGCCCAGCCCTGGGACTGCCCACTTCTCCATCACTAGGCATAGTGTTGTACAACTCGGGGTGGGAGGCACCAGTCACATTATATTCTATATGAATTTAATCCTAGAATGGGAGGTCCAGGAGTACAACCTTTGGCTTATTAGCCCTAAGTCTTAATTTCCTCATCTGCAAAATGGGGGTAAATGTAATTTAATGCCTTTGAAGTAAGGGATTAAATGAGATAGAATGCCAAGCACACAGTTCTCTCTCAATAAATACTGGTTCTTCCTTGCTGTTTGCAAAGAGGACTGCACTGAGAATCAGAAGGCCTGGGTCCTGGACCCAGTTCTGCCCCTAACTCATCATGTGACCTTAAACAAATTGTTTCCTCTTTCTAGGTCTCTGATTTTTCCCCTCATTTGGACAAAAGAATCTGCCATTCCCTTTCTTCTCTAACATACATTGATTCTGGGATTCTGTGCTTCTTTCAGGCAGTGACTTTTCCAAACTTCTGCATGATTAAACTGTTTTCTGAGTTAATTCAACATTCTCTAGCCCTTGCTGCTCTAATTAGCTTCTTACTGGAGGTAAATTCTCCCAAGTGGTTTGCACTTACTTCTATCTGGCAAATCTAATTCCTGATCGTTTCTTCATTTAGGCCTAGAATCTTCCAGTAGGTACCTACAGTGTGAACAGTCCCTGCTCTACCCTGGAGTTATGCTACACTGAGGCCCTGGGTTCCTAAAACCATCTGCTATCTGATCATCATTACTAACAAACATGCATTTAAAACCCTTGTCTGCGGGAGGCCTGTAACTACAAAAAGTGAGAAAGGATAGGAGCCTGACCAAGAAATCTCACCAGTAAAAGCAACTACATACATCAGGAGAAGTCAAGCAATAATGCCCACCAATATGGCTGGTATTCAAGTTGAAACTTGTAAGCTCCCTGCTTGCTTTTGCTCACCATTGAATCTCCAGTGCCCTGCACAGTGCCTCACATATAGCAGGTACTCAGTAAATATTTGCTGGAATAGCGAGGAGGAGACACAGAGTACAAACAGGGGCGGATTAACCAGTAAACAACAGGCTTACAGTAAGCAAGGTACACACGGGCTTACTTGTGTTTACTTACTAATCTGTCGTGATCAGTTTCACGTGAGTTTCACCACATCGTTAATGTGGTGAAAGACAGGTGAATTGTTCACGACAGATTAGTAAGTAAGCACAAGTAAACCTGTGAGTACCTTGCTTATGGGATAATTCATCCTTGAGTACAAATGAAATTTTTTATAAATCCTATGGCCTTGAATAGACTGTATTTTAGGCCTCTGTCAGAACCTACCTTTGGCAAAATCATCCAATTGGCAAAGTAGTCTTTAAACACCCTAGGCCAGCTCTACCTGCCCTCTCCATTAATGGAGAGAAAACCAATTCTAGGGAGAGAAGCTCTTTAAATAATTTACTTCAAATGTAAATTTAATTCAAATGTAAGTGATGATAATATTTGACACTTTTCCCTACTGCACCCCAATCAAGAGTGTTTATGTTTTAATAGGGCATGGGGAGAAGTTTATGCCAAAAGAATTAATCTGGAATAATATAATTTCAATTTCAAGTATCAGTTGCAGGTAGGCAAGGACAGTAGATCACTTTTTGAATAGAGAAAGGAAAGGATTTTTGGTTCCACTCAGATCAAAGTGATCAGCCATCTTCCTGGATGTAAGGCTGACACTTTATGTTATAATCCAAGTCATTCCTCCTAAGCACAATGTCTACCCCATAATATATTCTAAAGTTTATTTTATTTTATTTTATTTTTTTAGCATTTTCCAAGTTTATACATTTACAGCATGGGTCCTTCCTCAAGCCATATGTCAGAAAGTACCCTTTTTGTTCTAGGTTGTTCTTGCTCTTTTCCCTTTGTTAACTGCAAGGTAAACAACCCCCAAGCTGAAGGTTGCCCTTCCATTCTTTCTGGGCTCCATATCATGAACTGGGTGGTATTTCCGACTCTGTTAGGACCCTCTGGAGAGAGTCACCAGAAAGTTCTGTGTTGACAGATTTAGTGTTGATGCTCCAACCCAAGATTTTGCAGAAGAAAGCTTAATCTGAAAAGAAGGAAGAAAGCAGGGCTTCGAACCGGTTCATTCTGGTTCATTCTTAGAATCACCTGGGGATCTTGTTAGAAAGTAGATTTGGATTTAGTATAACTGGAGGGTGGAAATGCAGATTCTCAGCAGGGGGTCTAACCAGAAAGAACCAGTTTGAAGACCTGGAAGAAAGACAGAGAAGGAAGGGGAAAAGAAGAAAGGAAGGAAAGAAGGGAAGGAGGGAGGGAAGAAAGGAAGGAACAAAGGAAGGAAGGAAGAAGAGAAGGGAGGAATGAAGGAAAGAAGGGAGGGAATTAAAGAAGGATGGAGGGAGGGAGGAAAGGAAGGGGGTAAGGAACCAAGACAAGACGAGAGAGTGGAAAGGAAGAAAGGGAAGGAGGGAGGGAGAGAGGGAGGCCTGTCTTCACCTGCTTTTTTTTTTTTAAATTATAAAGCTCTCGTGTAAAAGACACTGTCTTCAAAACAAGCCAGTTAAAGGCTTCCCTAGGGTTAATGGGAAACATGGACATAACTAAAATAAAGGTTTGACAGTATGAAACTTTAGACATAGAACACTGCAGACCCACAGCTGTTCTGGGGCTGTTGCCTAGGTAACTCAGGTATGAACACCTGCATGAGATCCGGCTTCCAAGGAAAGTGGCTGGAGCGTAGGGATGCCTCATTTCATTTCAGGTAGCTTTCACAATCTAGTAGTAAGCCTGGTTTCACAAGGAAAGCACCTGCTCTTTAAACGTATACGAAAAGAGACAATGACAAAGAGCTCTGAGGGAAACGGTTCCTCATCCAAGTTTGTCAAGCTGACAACGTCTATGGATGATTGATCTTTGCAGTTATGGCCTGAATCAAGTTAACAACTTGTATAAGACAACATTAGAAAGAAATAAAAAAAGAATCATGAGAGAAACTAAATGAAAGCTTGGATGTGTGCCTTTGAGCCCAAATCTTGATTTGAAGTGTCTTGAAGGCTCTTTTTTTCCTCTTTCTTTCCTTCTTTCTTTTTTTTTAATACATATTGCAGTAGAACTAACGCATCTCAGTTAGAATTCTGAAATCACAAGTGGACAACATTTTTTTGTTTATCTCCCA